TCGATTCCCACAGCGGCGACAATCTTTTCGTACTTTTTCTACATGTTTTAATGTTCAATCTTAAGTGCAGAGATTAGCACTATAAAAAACTTTAAAATTTATAAAAAGCAATGGCGACATCTTTCGTTCGAATTATCGTTGTAAAACGATATTCGAAATTGTTTGTATGCTGGAAAGGATATAACAATAGATGCGCCAAGCATTGCTTCAAATGCTAAATAACAATGTAGAAAGAAGGCGTTAAGATTTTCGTCGCTGTGGCTATCAGCCGTTTAGCTCAGTGGCTAAAGCGTCAGGCCGCGAATGCCGAAGACGTGGGTTCGATTCCCACAGCGGCGACAATCTTTTCGTACTTTTTCTACATGTTTTAATTTACGATGTATTTTTAATCAATTCCTTTTCCATTTGATTAAAAAAATAATAATAAATAGGAATATTTTTTTAAATTGTTGATTGCTTTCTCATACTTTATATTTGTTTGTTTATTATTATTCCTATTATAATATAAAAGTAAAATAAAATCATGGTCTATAAAAGGTATTATAGGGATCAACTGTGTACATTTTCGAAAGCCTTCCATGATACTATCGATAGTATCCTACGGCCCATCACTACACACACACTAGGTAATGAATGACTTGGTCTAGCGGCGCGTCGACGAAACTCGCGCGCTGCGCGCCGCTAAGCGACGTTACACCTCCTCCGATTCCTCATACATCCCCACCCAAATAGTTAAAAATTCACTGCATACAGCGCCTTAACAGCGGCCGATGGAAGCAAGGGTATAACCCAGACCTAGTATTCGTTAGCTCCAAGATAAGTTCCCAGTGCATTAAGACCGTGTGCGCGCCGGTTCCTCGCACGCAGCGCAGGCCTATCATGTGCAATATAATACCAGTGGTTCAGCTCTTACAAGTCCCGCACAAACGCCGATTTAATTACGTGAAGGCTAAATGGGAGCAGTTTGCGAAGGAAATCGATGACGCTCTCCTGAATGTTCCCCCAACCCCTATTTAGTAAAAAAGCTTGGCATACCATCCGCCAGCTAACCAATGATCCACTCCGTTCTATCACTCCCAGCACGGTTACAGCTAACCAAGTAGCCTATCAGCTCCTACTGAATGGCAAACCTCCCAGGCGCCTTCCGAGGACTCCAAAGCTGTACACCACTGATGCCTCTGACAACATGAGTAAGCCTTTCCAGCTGTTTGACATCATTGCAGGAATAAAATCTCTCAAAAATGGCAAAGCCTCGGGACTTGATAATATATGTTGTGCAGATTAAACATCTTGGGCCAGTTGCTGTGTCCTTGTTGCTTCAAATGTTTAACTTTGGTCTTGAAACCTCCCAGATACCCCGCATCTGGAGGAAATCAAAGGTTATAGCTATACCTAAGCCAGGAAAACTATTAGAAGACCCCAAAAGCTTCAGGCCTATCTCATTACTATGCCATACACATAAGCTTTTTGAACGGCTTCTACTAACTCGCCTCACTAGCTTTATTGACCCGAGATTTATCCCAGAGCAGGCTGGTTTCAGATCTAAAAAGTCTTGTTGCAACCAGGTACTTAAAATCACGCAACACATTGAGGATGGTTTCGAGACGGGAAGAGTGTTTTGTGAGGCGCTGTGTTTGTGGATCTCTCGGCAGCCTACGACACAGTGAACCTGAGGCGACTGTTGTGGAAGGTGGAGACCATGACCGCAGATATTAAATTTGTCAATGTCCTCCGAGAACTCCTCCATAATCGTCGCTTCCAGGTTCACCTTCTCAAGGATGTTAGCCGTTGGAGAGTACAAAAAAATGGCCTCCCACAGGGCAGTGTACTGGTCCCAATGTTATTTAACATATATACGACCATCCATCCAGTTCAAGTACCTTCCGCTTCCTTTACGCCGACGATCTTGCGCTTACGTCTCAATCGACCAGTTTTGAAGAAGTTGAGAAAACTCTCACCGTAGCTCTCGAAAGTTTAGGCGAGTATTACGATTAGAACTCAAGCCTAACCCAATCAAGACTGATTGGAGCGTATTCCATCTACGCAACGCTCAAGCAGGCCGTAGGCTCGAGATCTCCTGGCGTAGAGTGCCCATCACTCATAATGACTCGCCCAAATACCTCGGCGTCTTGTTGGACAGATCCCTCACTTTAAAAAAAATTGTGAGGGTCTGAAACGAAAGATGTACTGCCACAACAACTAGTTACACCGTCTAGTACGTACTGACTGGGAGGCTACGCCACATGCGGTGCGCACTTCAGGTCTGGCGCTAGCGTTCTCTGCCGGCGAGTTCACGTGCCCCGTATGGGGCCTCTCTGCTCATGCCAAGCTCGTGGATACAGCTTTAAATGAAACCTGCCGAATTATAACTGGATGTTTGAACCAACCCCAGTCAAATTGCTGTATCCACTAACTGTCATAGCGCCGCCGGCTGTACGCAGAGCCGCTGCGAGCTCGTGAGAGAGGGCTAAGGGTGAAGAAGACATGCGGCACCCCTTACACGGGCACGAGCCTTCACCGCAAAGACTAAAAAGCCGAAAAAGTTTTTTTTAAATACGTCGACCCCCTCACAAGCGAGCCCTCTCAAGCGAGATGTAGATTGTGGCGTGCTGAAACGCTGATTCCGGACCCCTTTGTCCCGCTTTCCGAGAGTCTTCCGCCTGGGCACAGATTGCCATGGCCAATCTGGAAGTCTTTAAATAGACTCCGGACTCAGGTTAGCCGGAACAAGGAAAATATCTTTAGGTGGGGACTCTCGGGGATCCCAGACCTAGATTGTGTGTATGGAGCGGTGCAGTCCATGGCTCATCTGGTGTCCTGTCCTGCCTGCCCCTCCACCTATTCGCAGCAGGATTTGATGGACGCCTCGAACTGTCGTCGATGACAAAGAAGATGACGCAAAGAAAAAGAAGAAGATTTATCAATACAAAAATTTTGCTTTGATAGAGCAGAAAGTAGGAAACAGCAATAACATACACAATAACGCTTTTTTTTTATTTTCATTTATTTTAGTCTTCCATTAGATAAATGATGCTTTTTACATAACACCTAGAACATTCTGATTTAGTTGTTCACTATTTTATAATTAACCAGTCGTTATTCAATGCTAGGGATTCAAGTAGATACATATAGTATATTTACGTATTTAAGCAGCGACTTTCTTGTAGTGTCTCTATCTTTTTCGTTCAATGTCGATAATTTTAAATTTAAAAATATATGACACTGACAAAATAACATCAAACTATGACTTTTGGTTGTAAAAATGAAGCATCGATTCTAAAGAAATGTTTTCAGAATATCGTATATAGATTTATAATCCTTTCAAAAGTAGTGTGTTGTCTACCACTAGGACATGTTGCGAGTTTCGCGAAAAAGGCAAACTCGTCAAAACTTTTGAAGGGCGGTCGCGTATCCAGTGTCATATGTAAGTGTAAATCTGGCGATGGAAAAGATATACTTATTAATTCATCCGCCACGAAACATGGCACACAACAGGCATCAAGAAGTCGAACTGTAAAATATTTGGTGTATGTACCGAAAAAACCTAAAAACAGAAACAAATACGTTCAAATAGAGCCCCCTAGCATAGACAATTACGCCAAGAATTTTAAATCATGGAATATAAAGGAGGCCATACCATTGGATAAAAAGTCCCAAAAAAAACTACGAAACCTTATCTCGAAGAAAAGTTGTCATAAAAAAGACAGTCAATATTTAGTTGAAATTAAGAAAAAACCTTTCCTTATCAAAAATTTCTTTCCAAGGAAAGCTAACTAAAAAAAGCTAACGCATGATTATGCAAATCATTTTCGGAAATATAGTAATGGTATTATCAAAATGTTGTGTCCACATGTAGTTATTTAAATACATATATTAAAAAATCAAACATATCTTTTAAATCTTTAATAAATATTGAAACAAACGGATTTAACATAAATATTGGAACAGAAAAATTTTAATATCCAGCAACAAATGCAGATAACCATTCCATATCGATAATATCACAGTATTATTTAATTACATATATTTGTTTTTTTTTTTTTTTTTTTTAAATAAACATGACAAAGTAAAGCACGTGGCAAAAATATTGCTTTTTTTTTCCATTTTATCATCATACTTTATGATCAGCTCGAGGTGCGCATTTTCACCGATTGGAGTTCATTGCAGAAATTTGAAAATCATTACCCATCATTAAAGATGAAATTACAATTAAAAATTAATAAAACAATAATATTTATGCAAAGGTTAAGATGCAGCGGTAAATCGTGCGCGTGTAAACTATTTACAAAGTGTTTTATTGTGCCTAGGGATGAATTAGTCAATATTGCACTATATAATATACAACGTGGTTTTACAGACGACGAACATATTAACAGAGATATGCAAAATTTGATTCTAAATCTAGTACGTACTTGTGACCTCATTTTTTTTCAAAGATTATTTTTTAATTTTTTCAAACATTATGGACACCCTATCAAAAATACCTGCGTTACCGTCTCAATACAACCTATTCACGAGCACTAAAACTGTTTGCTGAACTAAACCGCTTATCAATAGGGTGACCACTATTAACGGGATAAACAAACAATGTTTGAATTGATATTTTTCTGGTTATTTCTTGTCAAAATAAAATATTAATATTTTTTTAATCATGGAATGATCAAGGAACAGTATGTACTTCGTCTAAAAAATCACCCAAAATCAATCTGTATAAATACTTTTTTATTCATTTTAATCGTTAAATATTTCATTTATTAATTGTGTCAACAAATCCAAGCCCAAATCCAATCCATGCCAGTCAGAATTCATGTAACTCAGAATTCATGTACCGGAAGATGGCAACTGTCATTCACTAAAATTAATGCTTAAGGAAGTATTGGGCCAACCTTGAATTTTTATTTTACTTATTAATAGGAACAAAGTGTATCAGTGAATTGTGTATTTGTTGAATTGTATATCAACCGCAACAGTGTAGAATTGCGCTATTGGTGATTGGTCTAGTCGGCTTTGGGCTTTATCTGTGCGTAGGGCCACATCGCCAAAGCGGGCATGAGTCTCAGCAGCAGTGCAGGTTTTATTGCGTTCAGCAGAAACTGCAGGGAGTAGAAAATAAACGCGTTGCTCCTGCTTATGTTTTCTTGGGCTTGATTCACGCCGTACAGAATGACCGCGGTGCTGAACGCTGCTATGATCAAAGAGCGGTTCTTCGTATAGTGACGGTATCTGGAAGTTTACAAATTGAAATTCTCTTAATACGGTGCTTCAGGTCCATTCGAGAATGGTTTAGATTCACAATTTTTTTTAAGTTATCAGATTTAAGTCGTGTGTACAGAACAACGTCAGCCCGGTCCGCTAGTCAAGTATATATTCTAATTATGTATTCCGAACTATCTAAAGTGTTGAATTTAGTTTAAGTTGTTTTTAAGTTTTGAATTTTTTAACCATACTATATTACAATACCAAATAAACAATTGTCACGACAAAGACAACTTTTGAAAGAGAAACTTATAAAAAAATCTCTACAAATTTTAATTATAAAACATTGAAATAGCTGGGATTGGAGTTTCACCTAAGAACATTTTCTATTATTTTCATAGATGAACGTCTAGTTATTTATTTATTTATTTAGGAAACAAGTCAATTGGGCGTCTTCTAGGCAAAAGTGAGGAGGCTTTTAGTAGGCTAGGGTTCAAAAGGATAAAAATCTGCTATCCGTTTGAGATAATTAGAAAAAGACACTCACTCAGCCACGGCAGGTGTGACGCACAGAGCCCAGCCGAGCAGGTTGGCAGTGCACTGGACCAGGGCGAACATAGGAGTGGTCGACACGTGGATATCGTCCGGACTCTCGCACCATCGGAAAGCCTACAAAGTAAGCCAAATAAAAAATTCAAGTTAACATAAAGGTCGTCTATTAAATGATGTATTTTAATCGGCTTCGGCGCCGGGATTCGCGGGTTCGGTTCCCACATGGGAGAAGTATCTGTGTGACCCACAAATAATTGTTTCGGATCTGGGTGTTTGTCTCTGTTGAATTTATGTTTGTAGTCATAGTACGTTATTCCTAATAACGTTGTTTAGCATGTTTGAGTCCACTAAACATAGGCCTCCCCCATAGACTGCTACGATCCTGAGCCACCTGACTCGACTTCTCGCACTTTTGCACAGGTCATCACTGTAGTCACAGGAATATATGACAACACTGTCAGTCACAGGAATATATGTGTATATTTAATATGTCACATGCCGCAAATAAATCATAATACCTAATAGTAAGCATGTAAGAATTTCGATAGCCCGCATATGTCCCTTAATGATTTAATGGGGACTTCGAAATCTAACAAACGCACCAGTGCCTTCTGAACTGAGCCTAAGCATCTCCGAGGACTGGCAACATTTACGATAACACCCTATTTTAGGCAAACCCGGGGCCTATCCGTGTTGGCGAGATTTGTTGCTGAAATCGCTTGTCACCACTTCATTCGACTATTATTTTAAGATCTGTTCAGACTGGGCTAGAATAAGAGGCACGCAGAAATCTCTGCTTTATCTTGTTCCATGGATACCTACACCAACGCTTCAAAGGAGACAGGTGCGAAGAAAGTTACCGATGCCAAAACCTCTTAAAGCATGTCATTTTGTTTTGTTTCGAGTGCATATGTCGCTCTCTCTCCCTCTTTACGTCATATCTATCTTCTGTCATTGAGCGAAATATAATAATCGTGAAAGATACTTAAAATTTCTGCTCACCCTAATGTTTACTTGTTTTTTATTTTATATTTTATTTTATTATTATATTAGACCACCTTCAATAGCTGCACACAACAGGCCAGATACCTAAGCCTATCCCATAAGCTATCCGTGGCGTGTGGTACGTCCACGCAACGGTCTATGCCGTTGTACAAATGGGCAGGTCCATCTGGGGAAGTACCACGACCCTACAGTAAACCGGCGTGAAATGGAAGTGTTACACTTCTATGTTACGTCTGGAGAGTTACATCTTTAAAAGAAAAACAAACCATCTGGACGGTCCATTGAGGGTCTACGCCGCACAGCTTCAAGCTGTAGTAGGTGATGATGCTAATGGCCACAGTTGCCAGCGCTGAGAACGCGTGCCACGCCACAGCACGTGGCACAACCAAGCTGGACCCTGGACCGTACTTCCAGATGAACGGGTCCGACACGTAGATACAGAGGGCGGGAGCTAGGAAAGATCCTGGAAACGAAGCAACAATCACGATAAGTGGTAATAGTAACAAAGCTCTCAAGAAATGGTATTTGAGGGGCGTTAGAACGAAAACCGATAAATCACTTTTTATTTTAAGTATGGCAATCGGCAGTTCTATAGCCATCTTGTATCAAATCTATTTATAAACGTCTAAATCGTCTTTAAAAACTTTCTCTTGTATCTTGTATTACCTGATGTTTGTGCTTTCAGTCCCAAGACTATTAAAGCTACATCTGACGCAGGACCAGTGGGCTAGCCAGAGCCCACGGGTTTGGGCCCTCCGCTGTGGGTAGGGCCAAAACTTTCTCGAAACACACTAATCGGAACATAAATCGATAAATCAATCGAATTGTTTCATGATTGGAACATACATTGACAAATCCTTAGAAATTTTCAAAAAAAAATATTATATGATTAATCGGTTTTTGTTCCCATGCTCCTCGTTTAAAAGATAATATACAATATAAAGACATTTTTAGATTATTTTGATGAGAGCAAAACAATCTCATCGTGAAACTATATTAAAATAAAAAATAAACATTGGTAATTAGTCTTTGTTTTAACCTGACATGCTTATTTGTACCTTACGGCAACCTAAACAAAGAAAACTTTCATTTTTATTTGTATATATGTCTATCTGACTGACTGTCAATCTGTAAAACAAATTGTCTATTCATGTCTTCAAACCTATAAAATATATTAATTGATTTTGATTGCTAATTTATGCTATATTTTAGTGACTATTATGTGTAACAGAAGGCAGGAACCAACCCAAATACATTATTTGTCAGACATTATCAATGTCATTACTTGGTTTACTGGAATATCACATTGATTTTAATTATCAAAATCCTATCATCTCAACAATAATATCATCTAACATAAATTACTACTTGAATATGTCATGAATTTATTCTATTCCAACATCACTCACCTATTAACGCTCCTAAGAGGCATTGATGAGGAAAATGCGTGGCGACGAACATCCTTGCTAGAACAACAGCACACAATGCACATGCTGACAATGGATATGCTACAAACTTCCACCACCATATATAGCATTTTCTGAAAAGAATATAAGTCATTATCATATAAACAACTGTAAATTAACATGTGTTCAAGTTACAGAAAATTAATAAAAGATGGAGATTTATAAAAGAATTGGTAAACAAATAGCATATATCTGTTTAATACAAATTAGTGAACATTGTATACTATGAATTCATCAAGGCATGTTCTCTGCCTATTCTGCACATTCTCTCTTCTTCTTCAATATCTCTTAAGCTGGTTTACATAATTTTCTTAAAGGAATGCTTATACCTATGGGACCTAATGCTAGCATCAAGTGAAGTAACATATTTTTTTCTTTTATGTGGTCTGTATTATATAGTTGTCTATTGTGAGTAGTAATCACATAAAGTCAGGTGAATGTTATGTGTTTCTATATCAAGGACTGAGGTAGAAAACATTTGAAATAAACATTTACCTATCATTCATGATGTGAGAGATCCACATAAGAGCTAATAGGAGCACAGTTGCTGCAGTAGCCGAATGGCCTGAAGGCGAACCAGGCCCTGTCTCACAGGTTTGACCAAACTGTTGCAATTGCGGACGACGCATTCCAGTATAAAATGAAGTCTCACGCACCCACCAATAAGGACGTTCCTCTAACAGCCACCTGTAAAATAATAAAGATATGGCATACTATTATGTTCATTTATGTATTTATGTACTTAGTATACTTAGTTTATACGTAGTTTGTTTATCATTGCTGGGGCTGAATATGTAAAATTCCACTCACATTTGTTCAAAAATCGTTTGGTTGTTCTCAAAATACTTTGCTCATTGGTTTCATGTTTTCATTCTTTCTTGTCTTTAAGTATGCCTGTTGCATTAGCCATGCCTACATGTGAAGACCAGAGCCAAGTCAAACCTCTTATAGATTTTATCCAATTTGTGTTTTTTTATTCCAATAATTTTAAAACTACAAATACAGTAATACAGTAATCCATGTAATGCCTTATTGTTAATTGTCTTATTGTGTTTTCGTTAATCCAATATCAGAATTTCTTAGAAAGTTCGGTATACATGAGGCTGACAGTCGAGTTTATTATAGGCTAGGATAATAAAGCAACAAAAGAATGTACACAGTTTTAAAAAATTTAGGCAACTTCAAAGATACTTTTAATTACTTAATTGTTGTCATCACAGCGAGTGGGTGTAATGCTATATAAAGTGTATCATTGTATGGAAGACAAGTTAAACCAACCAAAGCCAAGTGGTTTCGACGCTTTAGGGAGTTTGTCGTTAAATTGAGTGATGTTACATGGAATTTTCATTGTACATACACAATATTAAATACTTGAAACAAGTTTTTTCTTCTTAACCCTACATGACAGCTTAACTATTATAATTTTGCCCTGAATTTTTATTTATACATACCATTTCATCACAGCATTTAGCCATCCACCGAAAGCCAAACACAGTAGTAACTGAGCTGCAAAAACGGAGTCAACAATGGAGACAAGTGGAAAAAGCACCTCCACAACATAGTGAGGATTAGATAGATGGTTTACTATCTCAAAGAAATCTTCAGAATCTTCAAACCTGTAATTTTAAATATACATATACATACATATAAATTCTATAAGTAATAGTAATGTTTTATAATTAAATCTATGCTTACAAAACAAGTAAACGTACGTGTTATCGTAACAGTTTTAATTCACCAGGCTTTAACAATCACGAATATTACAAAAAAGCTTAATGAAATATGATGAGAAATAAATGTTTTAACACCATATTCAAATTTAAATTAGATTATGAAATTATGTACCAAGTCTGAACAAATTCTATGCAGGAAACGCCAAATGCATACAGCTGCTCCATTGTTGACCCTTACTAAAACTATTTCAATGGCTTAATTCAGGAATCATGTTTCTTGCCTAATCATCTTTACTTTCGACAAATTTAATGTTAAAAAAAAATAAGTACCTAAAATCTAAATGTCAAAAATATAACTGACAAATGATAAAGACATTGATATAATAAATCCGAATTTGAAACACAAATATTGTTCTTTATTTAATTTTAAATTACTGCAATAATGAACACGTATAAAAATTAAAAATCGTGAAAAATATATGTTACAAACTAATTTTATATTATAAATAAACGGTTATGCTGTAAACATAATTTGTAGTGCCATCGAGTGGCGAATAGAAACATTTAATTCGAACGCTTTTAAAATATACTTTTGTCACAAGATGACGTACAAAATCTTTTTCCTTTTTCAAATTTTTGAGACCATTTTATTATTCGTTAACATAAATCTTACTTTTTTTTTAATTCGAATCTAAATATAAAACAATTTAAGAATTTTCTTTAGTAAAAGCGATAGAAAATAAGAACCGAAAATGTGTAAATTGTTTCTTTCATTGGTTAGCTACCTAGAAAGTGTTAAATTCATTAAACTTTAAAATAGGAAAATTAAATGCGATACAGGTCTCCAAATATTCAATAATTCAGTTCAATAAGCATCGTTAGATGGTGTGGCGCCCCGGAAGGCCTTTGAACCGGGATTATTGCTTTAATAATTGAATATTATTGTATGATGTCTATACGCAAGTTCTTACAAGTTTAAATTTTTAATTGTACCTTTAATTTTGGATATTTATCTCACTCTTATTATAAGTCCTAATCATAATTAATACTAACCAAACCATTTTGCTTTTGTTATAATTTTTCATAAATCTAATCGGTAATTTTTCAAATTGGAACGTGTTTCTAATAAGTACCTATATACGTAATTTAATTATGACACAAATGTTTCATATAACATTGACAATCAACCTTCTTTTAAATAAATAACCTGAATAACCTGATTTTTTTGGCCTTTATTGTCCTTGTATTCTATAATGATTTCAAGTTGCTTTTTCTTTTTTGCTTATACTGGTTCCATTTCACTGTAGACTGGAGTATAAGATTTATATTTTTCTTAAATTATTTTATTTAAATTATGTTTACACAATTAAAATAGGACTTAAAATAGGACTGGTAAAAAGTAGGACAAGAAAGGATTTTCAATCTCTTATTTCTTGTTTCAAACTAAAAGATTTGCAATATTTTTGGTTACAAGACAATGTACATAAGAATGTTCAAATTTATTCAAAATAATATCTCTAATATCCTCTTATTGAGGAACGAAAGCTCTTGTGCTGACTGTACTTTAGGTGGAAACTCCGGCTGAAATTCGACAAATTTAATCTGTGAGCGGACGCGAAACTCCAGTACAAACGGTACAAAAGTTTTAAAACGTATGTTAAGATTTAAAATATTATATATTTTAATAGTAAAATTAATTAATTAAGTCATAAACAGCGCTTATTGTCAAATAGTAAAAATCTTCGCAAAAAAAAAAAAATCGTTTATAATTGTTATACTAGTACTTATACAAACTGGTTTAATTTGCTGACAGGCTTACCGTAAGCTCATTCAGAGTAGCAGTTTTAAATGTAAAAGTTTTAAAAAGCTTTTTCATTAATTTATTAAAGAAAATTACGCCTTGTCATCATCCTGGTCTATGAAAGCATTTTAAGAAGTGACTAGCTTTGCTCACGATTTTTTTTTATGTTAGAAGATGACAAGCAAGCTGGCGGTTCACCTGTTAAATATGTGAAGTGGTAACCGTCGCCCAGGGGCATTAACAATACCTTATGTTACTATATGATTACAAATGCTTTGCCACCTTTCAATAAAGAGAGCTCCGGTTACCTCACTCATCAGACGAAACGCAACGTATAACATTTTCACTTCAGGCCTTCTATGATGTCGTAGTACTTCCCCGAATGGATTCCCCCACAGATTGCCACGAGGCACGATCCTGAGTCACCTGCATCCATCTATTTCCCGCACATGTACAGGCCATCACTCCATCTAGTGGAGGGCCGTCCTCAACTATGATGGCGAATACGAGGCTGCCACTGGAGAATCTTTCTTCTCCATCGGTTATCGGTTCTGCGTGCTATTTGGCAGCCACTGCCACTTCAGCTTACTAATCCTATGAGATACGTCGGTTGCCTTTGTTCTACTGTGAATGTCTTTATTAGTCTATCATACAGAGATATACCGAGCATAGCTCGCTGAGCGACTTTGATCTTCCTGACCTGGCCAGCAGTGAAGGACCACACTATTTATTTTAAAATTGATTAATTGTTTAGACTCTGCCATAGACAAACACCATATTTACTCCGCTATATGTAGCAACCTAGCAACTTCACTTGCGCATTTCTTATAACATTTTGATTTCTGTAATAATTGATGTCTCGATAAAATATCACATAATAGTAATATAACACGTTTTTACATTTATATCTTAAGCTTTCGAAATCAACAACAAAACGTGCTCCCATTAATGAATCAAAATTATTATAACAAACGGAAATGACAGTCGTCTTATAAAGTGAGACAAATTTATTCGTATATTATCACTATTTATATTTTTATCAACACATATTTAATGACATGATCAACATTTGATTAAAATTATGTAGAATAAAATCTTCAGATTCAGCATAATTTCCCATCTCCTGTAGAGCATCGCCGACACTCGTAAACGCTGTATGATCACGTAGAATTATTGCATTAAAATATAATCTGGCTCCGACACCGAGTCGGGGGGGAATTGGGGGCAAATCGTTGAAGGTAACTGGTTACCTCTCTATCGCACTTTACCAATGGTCGTATTAAAGCTTTCGCTCGCTCGGTGGAGACTATAATGACGGCAGATTTTTAATAAATATTAAATGTTCGAAGCAACGGCAGTTTTTATGATATACAAGTTGTTTATAAGATAAACAAAAAAAATTAAAACACCAATTTAATGAGATTAGTTTTATATCCACGTTTTATGTTACTATTAGTTTTTCTAATATACTGACAGAATTAGTGAAATAATGATACCTACTTCTATTTGTTAAATTATTTTATATTATCTATTTTGTAATGTTATGCAAATTTGCAAAAATTTATAATAATATATTTTAATCTTACTAATTATTAAAGAATACAAGAAAATATTACTCTTTAATACATTTCCTCATTTACTTTTTATAGATATTTTGATTAAATGAAAAGTGAGTACTACTCGACTACAGTGGATTATTTATTGATCCGTTCCAATTTTAAAAGGTATCTAATAGTTAATGCCATACGATTCTTACAATTTTGTATTTCATGAAATAAAACGAATATATAGTATTAACACAAAAGTTTACATGAAGCATCACTTTATTATTTTTTAGTAAAGAAAGCTACCGTATGAAGTAAAAGGAAAAGAGTTTAACGGTATTAATCATATTTAATTAATGATTTTCAGCTCCCGACGTTTGAAAAAATTACAGCTCTAGGTTATTTGAGAGCCTAATATTTTACTTACTAATGATATAGTCAATCCAGACTACTTTCAGCTTTTTTATTATTCATCTTTAAAGAATTGGTTCATAACGAAAATAAAATTGCTTTAGATAGACGTTGAATTTCACAACAAATTTTAAATAAAATTGCGTGGTATGTTTGTTCCAACTTGAGGTTCCAACTGGAATTGAACCGAACGGGTTTTTACGTTTGGGAACCGAAAAAAAATTAACACGCGTTTTTTTTTTGGTGTTAAAGACCGATGGACTCTTTTAACACCAGAAACCTTAAAAATACTTCTACTTCGCGCTTAACATCATCATCATATCAGCCGTAGGACGTCCACTGCTGACCATAGGCCTCATTGACTTCCACTTCAACCGGTTGGTAGCGGCTTCATCCGCTCGGTTTGCTCAACTGTTGCTCTACCACAGTGGGAGGATATTTTTTAACGCATATATACTTACACGTCATTTCGACTACGCGGAAGAAGTTATTTACCTATAGTAGTCGTACTGCAGAATGCATTTAAAATTTTACTCCAACTAGTAACCTCATTTACATCAACACACTTGTAATCCTATATTGATAACTGCAATATTCACAGGTGACATTAGATGTTAACTGTAATGAAATCATTTAATCTAATAAAAATCACTTAATCTAATAAATTTAATTTAATTTGAAATAATAAACCATCAATCCAAATCAAAAAACAAAACCTGGCAATTTACATTTGTATATTTCATTTTCAATGATTGGTAAAAGTAGTATTTTCGGGGTCCAAAATGTAATTAAAGATCAAGTCACCTGTAAAATGAAAATAAAGTGCCTTGGCTTTTAACAAAAGTGGTTAGCTATTGCTCGTTTTTGAAAATGACTTGACAAAGGCTAAAATAAGGCAATGCGTTAAATGATCACCGATTCAGCCACAACTGTATTCTCTACATAAACACACAATCAGGCGATTTCATCAATTGGATCCGGTATATTATTAAAACATCACAGGAAGCCGCACACATGCCACAACATGACCATAATGTCACATCAAACATTTTTAAACACACCACTTAAAGAGCTGAAGCTCGCTCCGTAAACGCTCCTAATATGTCACAGTTAAAAGTATCGGCCAATAAAGCGGCAATTAGGGTGGAAATGTGTGTTTTTTTTTTTCAGACGCAAATAGAATAGGGGAGGCATAATGTGATATCCTTGTTTGTTTTTAAAAAAAGAACGCGAGCACTCAATTAAATGGATGGCTGTTTATGATGTCGCATTTAATAGTTTTGAGTTCTTTTCTGTTACTGTAAGTTGCGATTTACCAGTTTTTTATATTGCCAGTGTTATGATGTAGTCTATTGACGTTTTACAGTTGCATAAGAATGTTTGAGCTCGAATCTTTTTATCTGTTATTTTTTATGTGAAAAATTGGCAAACAAGTAGACGGTGCACCTGATGGTAAGTGATTACTGCCA